ACTGCTTTATATCAACAAAGCCACTCGGGTTTGTTTTTCCCTAGTTTTTCCACTTGGTCGAGTTGTCCTACGCTCGCATAAGGGCGAATGCTCTATCAATTTTATTCAAATTACTCAATAAGCTCATTCTTTGTTTGAGTATACAGATTAGTGAATTTTTCTAAAGTGTAACCTGATTTTTTGACTTGATAATAATAAAAGTAAACAAAACAAATTCCATTGACTGGAAGTGTTTCCATCACTTTCAGGGCCGGCGGAACGTTTTTTTAAAGAGGTGGGGGGGCCACTTATAAGATGAATGGGAATATGAATCATACAGATCGGGAATCAAACCTAGGTGGTGGGGGTCAACATTCCTCCCCCGGGAAAATTTAGATTTCTAAATGGCTGGAAATGACCTTTCTCGACTTTTGAGCTAGGTGTCTAATGACTTCAAAATTCAAGGTTTTTCCCTCTTGAAAACGGTCAGGTAATTTTTTAGCATTGTTATTCAGTAAATAGGCCTTAAAGTGTATACATACATAAACATTTTTAAAAAATGAGTAGTTGCATACGAATTTTCCATGAATCGATGAATCACAAAAAGAAAGGGGGGTCGGGGGTCCTCCCCCGGGAAAATTTTGATTCCTAGAAGGCGGGAAATGAGCTTTCCCGACTTCTGGGATGTCTTTTAATTACTTTTTTTAAGTTCTTCAAAATTCAAGGTTTTTCCCTCTTAAAACGGTCAGGTAATTTTTTACCATTGTTATTCAGTAAATAGGCCTTATGTGTGTATACATACATAAAAATTAAAAAAAATGAGTAGTTGCATAAGAATTTTCCATGAATCGATAAATCCCAAAAAGGAGGGGGTTCCGGAGGTCCTCCCCCGAGAAAATGTTGATTCCTAGAAGGCGGGAAATGAGCTTTCCAGACTTCTGAGGTGTCTTTTAATTACTTTAAATTCTTCAAAATTAAAGGTTTTCCCCTCTTGAAAATTATTATAATGAATCGGTGAACCCAAAGAGAAAAGGGAGGTTCAGGTTCTTCTCGGGAAAATGTTGATTTCTAAATAGTTGGAAATTAGCTTTCCCGACTTCTGAAGTATCTTTTAGTGACTTTAAAAAAAATGAGTAGTTGCATACGAATTTTCCATGAATCGATGAATCACAAAAAGAAAGGGGGGTGGGGGTCCTCCCCCGGGAAAATTTTTATTTCTAGAAGGCGGGAAATGAGCATTCCCCTACTAGCTTTCCCTGGGGTGTCTTTTAATTACTTTTAAGTTCTTCAAAATTCAAGGTTTTCCCCTCTTCAAAACGGTCAGGTAAATTTTTCCCATTGTTATTACAGTAGATAGGGGCCTTATGTGTGTATACATAGGCCTACACAAAAAAATGAGTAGTTGCATACGATTTTTTTTCGATAAATCGATCGATAAATCCCAAAAAGAATGGGGGGTCCGGGGGTTCTCCCACAGGAACATTTTGATTCCTAGAAGGCGGGAAATGAGCTTTCCCGACTTCTGAGGTGTCTTTTAATTACTTTTAATTTCTTCAAAATTTAAGGTTTTCCCCTCTTGAAAATTATTATAATGAATCATTGAAACCAAAGAAAGGGAGGTTGGAGTTCTTCCCGGGAAAATGTTGTTCTTTAAAATTAAAGGTAATAATTTTTTTCCCATTGTTGTTACAGTAAATAGGCCTTATGTGTGTATACAAACATAAAAAAAGTTTGAGCAAGTTGCATACGTATTTTTTTCCATGAATCGATAAATCCCAAAAAGAAAGGGGGGGCTGTGGTTCTTCCACGAGAAAATTTTGATTCCTAGGTGGCGGGAAATGAGCTTTCCCGACTTCTGAGGTGTCTTTTAATGACTTTTAACTTCTTAAAAATTGAAGGTGCCCCCCCCCCCCTCTTGAAAATGATTCAATTAATCAATGAACTCCAAAGAAAAGGTCCGTGTTCCCTGGGAAAATTTTGATTTCTAGATGGCGAGAAATGAGCTTTCCTGACTTCTGAAAGTTCATCAAAATTCAAGGTTTTCAACTTTTGAAAACAGTCAGGTAAATTTTTCTCATTTTTTATTTTATGTGTGTATTCATACATAAACAAATGTGTAGTTGCATGCGTATTCTTTTTGCCATGAATTGATAAATCCCAAAAAGAATCTGAAGTGTGTTTTAATGACTTTTATGTCGTTCAAAATTCTAATTTTCTTAATGTAACAGGATCCATCAGGACCCATGACCCATGACCCCCCTCCCCCATATCCGCCAATGTGAATTGCGAGAAAATGTAACTCGGTCGGGTACTGGATAAACATTC